CTCTGTCAACGCTCTCTGGTTTCATTTAAAAGAGTCGATCATCAGATATTGTCCAAGATTAACCTTCAGGGTGGATATAGCTCGCTAGCAGCCTCGCATCGAGGACCTATCCACGTCATCATTTACCCAGAATGCTTTGTGTGTAAATAAAATGGTTCAGTCCGTGTTAAAATATGTTTTTAAAAATTACAAAACTAAACAGCCTACAGTATTTTTACAGTCTTTATTTTGCAGTTAAAATAAATGTTTATCAAATAAAGTCTAATGTTACAACCAATATGGATCCCTTAAAAGAAACATTTAGGGAATGATGATTCGAAGTATGGCTCCCACAGCTAACACATRCTCTGAGCGTAATGTCTCTAAATGAAGGAATCAAACCATGGGTTGAGAAAATTTTTAAATTCACCGTTTTACTTCTTTGTCAGGATTTGTTTGTTTTTAGTTTTGTTGAGAAAATAAAAAAGACTTTCATTGATTTCCACTTCAGATGTTTAATCATAAATATTTATAAAATAATATATATTACATCAACGTGATGTGTTGGGAGGATGGGTTAGATTAAGCTGACTAAACCCTAATCAGATTAGGCTCATGATGTTGAGTTTCATAAGTGAGGTGTCCAAATCACAGTGGTCATATGAGAGGTGTGGAGTCATCAGGACGTGATCTTGACCTCGTCCAGTCAGTCTAAGGTTGCTTAAAAATTATTTTATTTTAAATTAAACTGAATCACTTTCTCTTTGGTCTTGGCAAATATTGTTTTAAGTCAATTAAAAAAAATTAATGAATCCAACCTGAGGCTGCTGTGTTTGAGAAACTTGGGAACGTTTTTTAAAATCAAATCTCAAATAGGAAATGTTTGATGTTGTATTGTTTAGGCAGAATTTTGACCTTAATCTGATTAAACAAAAGGAGGAAAATACGTCCAGCAGGGTTTGATGTTTGACTCGAGGTCACAGGGAAACCCCAGTGCAGTGATTACAGTCATTGTCTAATTCAGGCTTTGAAAGGCCCTTATTCAAACAATGGATTGCATTGTTCTTGGAAAGAAAAAAAGTTCTGGGAAATAGTTTTATTGCAGGATTATCATCATAATACGTGGGTAAACTATTCGTAAATAACAGAAAAATTAAATCAGTTAGTTTTATCCCATCTAATAAATGTATTTAAATGTGATCCGATGAGCATTTTACTAAGAAAACGGTCTGTTTTTGGGTCACAGGATCAGCAGTCTGGCAGCTGATCGCCTCCTTCCTCAAACTGCCCATCTCTGGAACTCACTGCATCGTTGGAGCCACCATCGGCTTCTCCATGGTCGCCATCGGCACCAAGGGCGTGCAGTGGATGCAGCTTGTCAAAATTGGTAACGAGAGCTGTTTGTCCACCATGTTTGTTTCTTTATAGTTGTTTCCATTAATTCCATATCAGTGTTTTCACCAAAAAACTTTAGTGGTAAAAATCAAATATGGTTGTCAATCTAGGAAAACATTTTAAACCTCATTAAACCTTCTGCTGCCTTAAAGTCTTTGAGAAGGTGTGTAAAATAACTAGAACAAGGGCGTCCTGTCCTGGTCCCAGAGGGTCTCTGTCCTGAATGTTTAACTTGTTTCTCTGCTCCAACACACTTGATTCAGTGATTGAATCACCTCCTCGAGTTCTGCAGAAGCCTGTTAATCACCCATTCATTCAAATCAGCTGTAAACCTGTAAAACATGCAGGATAGTGGCCCTCAAGGACCAGGATTTTAAAACCCTGGACTAGAAAAAGGACAATATTAGAACAAAAACAGAATTTTARTACAAATGTTCAGTGACTGATGCTGTTTGTGGGGTATTTGTCTTTGATTTTCTCCAGTGTCTTCATGGTTCATCTCTCCTTTGCTGTCTGGACTCATGTCTGGACTCCTCTTCATGCTCATCAGACACTTCATCCTGAACAAGGTGAGCTTTTATAACCAAAGAAAAAGGGTTCATCATAAGAACACGTTGAGAACTGTCCTCCTTGAACTTTTGGGTTTTTGTGATTCTGGCTCATTACATAAAACCTTTACTCCACACGTGCACACCGAGCTGTCRGTCCGAGTTAAACACCTGAAGGTAAACACGGGCTTACATCTGTACAGAGGTTTGTCTGCAGAACCTGAGCGCAGATAAAACACATTTTGATTTGGCAACACTTGCAGATCTGTGGTTATGTAACATGAAGACCAGGAGGAGGAAAGTGTTTCAGGTCATTTTAAGGTCACCGCTGCAGAATTAGGCTTGAACGCATCACGTGGGCTGCATGGAGAGGTCAGATCTGTGGCTTGTTATCAGCTTAGTCAGAACACTCGTCTTTGTTCGTTGGGCTGAGATTTGATCATTATATTTAGAGTTTCAGTTTTATGTTTGAAGTCGTTTTGCACTGAAWTGAACTCCTGTAGATGTAGTGTTTTCACTCTTTTGTAGAACTTTAACTTGATGAGGAGTTTTATCAAACACATTTTATGAGCTGTTGGAGACTAGTTGGCGTCTTAATTTTCACAAAGACTAAAATCGGAGCCTTTGCGACCAATTTTGTGTTTTGATGCGACGTACCACATGTTCTTGTTTTTTTAAATTATTCGAAGCACAAGTAAATTAAATTAAAGTGAGAAATTTTAATATTTTATTTTTTAATATTTTAAAAGAATGATAAAAATTATTTGTTAAAGAAATATGAAATTGTATAATTTGTATTTATAAGAGCTGCTGTTTAGGAGCTGAAGTTTATTATTTTTATTTTTTTTATTTTTTTTAAGTTTTTGATTTGGTATTGTTGGAACACTGTTATTGTTTAAAACTATTATGAGTATTGTTATTATTATAGTATATATGTATGTGTGTGTATGTATATATATATATATACACACACACACAATTTTTAATAGCGGCAGATATAAGATTTCTTTTTCTTCTTTCTGCTACCTTTCATTTTATTTGATGTATATTTTTTGTATGTGAATTTTTTTTTTGTTTTTAAATTAAACGAATAAATGGTTAAAAAATATAATTGGTTCTTACAGGGAAAAGTCGGCTCTAAAGTCATCATATTTGTAAAATTTCCTTTGTTTCCACTCAGGATGATTCTGTCCCAAATGGACTCCGAGCTCTGCCTCTCTTCTATGCTACCACCATCGGGATCAACACCTTCTCTATCATGTACACTGGAGCTCCATGTAAGTGGCTTTTTATACAGAAAATCAGTGTTCTACAGTTTGACACATAACTAAGGAGATAAAAATATATTATAGCCATTTAAGAGATCGTATTTGAGGGATTATTTGTGATTGATGTTTCTTTGACAGTGCTCGGGTTGGAGATGCTACCGGTCTGGGCCATCTTTCTCATCACGTTAGCCGGGTCGCTGGTCTGTGCAGCTTTGGTCTGGATATTTGTTTGTCCTTGGATGAGAAGAAAAATAGCAAGTATGTATTTGTGTTCAGCCAACAGCTTCAGCTGCTGCTAATAACGTAGTTGCTATGACACTGAAGGACAGAAGCCAGCTGAGCCACCAAAACTACCAAAAATATGATGTGAAACTCTCTAATTCCACCTTTTGCTTTATTTTTTCCCCTAAGAGCATGCATCTTTAAGCATAAATCTGCTTGTCCAGATGAAAGAGGTTAGGATCGTATCTGGCAGTGTAGAAAGCTTTCAGGTCAAAGCTAAAGTTTACTTCTCTTAATGGGAAAATGAGCCCACAGCGAAGCAGACAACTGGAAAAGTCAACAAACTGAAAGAATGAGGGTTTTTTTCTGAGACATGGGAGGACTCTAATTTGTTTTTGTTTATATTATTTTTGTTTTTTTTTAGATTTTGAAATTTGATTACATTAGAAATTATTTGATAAACATTTGCTTCAACTGTAAAACAAAGACTGTAAAACAACGCTTCATGGATTGAGGACCTTAATTTAGCCTTTTAGCTTTTGCATTAGCGCCGAGCTAATACATATGGCAATATAGTATTAGTGCCTGAGCTAATGTTTATATGTATAAACCAACTAATGCCATATTAGTAATACAATATATACAGTATATACATGGCGTTAGTTCCAGAGCTAACAATTTTAGCTCAGGTGCTAATGACATACGTAACTACTCATTCATATATGAAACAATTAGATGTATAGACATTAATGTCCACGTTTTGGTTTAAAATAAAGCATCTTATGTGTTTAACTCAACCTAGGCTCAAGGCCGACCTGACCTGTTGCTTAATGTGTCGTGGCTTCTGAATGCTACTGAGGGTTATGGATGATGGTATCAACATAATCTGGATATTTGTGCATCCTGCAGAAGAAAACATGAGGGCTGTAAATGTTTGTTAGCTTGAGGAGAGAAGCGTTGTCAGGGTATTTGTGTTGGGATTAGTTTGGGTCAGCTGACAGATGAATGTGTTTCTAAAGACTTTTTGTAAGTAATATTTATCAAAAGGGTGATATTATGCAAAGTTGACTTTTTTGAGCTTAATGTCATGTTATGATGTAATTCCCTCATCAAAAACACCAGAGTGTTACTTTGACTCATTCATGCATGTTTGAGAAATCCTTGAATCACCTGTGGCCATGTTGAGCTGAATAAACACCTGCTGGTACAAAGCACCGCCTATTTGTACAAAGCTCCTCCCTGGAGSTCAGTCTGCAGCCGAGCTCCCGCCCCACTGAGCACCCCTCCCTCGAAGTATTGTTGTGAAAAAGATCTGAAGTGGGAGTGTCAGAAACAGTAGGAGGTTCTTAAAGAGAGTCTAATTTTGAGGTGTTTAATAAAGTCAAATGTATTTTTGATAAAAAACAGCATTTTCATAATAACTGAAGGTAACACTAGTGGGTTTTTCTTTTCTCCTAACTGGTATTAAAGTACCTGTGACATGCATGTACTTCAAATACAAGAAGTCAAAGAAAACAACTTAATATTTAAGAAACTAGGCATAGAACACATGATTTAATCCTTTTTGTCACATAACTGGCTTATTTTCTTTTGAACTTGGCTCAGCTAAAGTGAAACAGGAAGTGACATCAAAGGGGAACTCTTTACAAAAAGGAACTCCATGGTCTTTGTATATCAAAACAATATTATTTGAACTCTGTCTTCTTCATCTTTCTCTGATAGTGACTCAAAAGAATCTCATAAAACATCAGATTCTTCTCTGCRGTCTGTGTTGTCGGCCGTCGTAGTAATGCTGTTTACATTCAGACATTCCCCTTTGACATCACTTCCTGTTACTTGACACGCAAATATCTCAGCAACTGGTCAKTTCAGTGTCGTAAAACTTCTTTTGAAATACGTTATTAATGTTATCTTTCCAAAAATGCATTCATATTTATCACAAAAATGTGATGTCACGTGCMCTTTAAAAGCATCTGGTAAAACCTAATTATTAGGCAATATATTATTATGACTCCTAATGAATTTCCTTCAGGTCGTTTAAAGAAGGAGCAGGCTCTCTCCAGGATATCTGATGAGAGTCTGGATAAGATCCCAGAGGAGGAGGAAGAGAGCCCCGTCTTTAAGGAGCTTCCTGGAGCGAAGGGCACCGACGAGGCGGTGGTGCCGCTCACAGGAAGCAGCAGTGATCGTAGCACACGTGACCCCAGCGGGGAGCTCACCAGCATGGCCAATGGAGGCACTGTCCTGCCAAACGGCAGGGTGTATGGTAAAACCCTTCAGTTCTTTAGAAAAGAAGGAAAAACAGCAACAATTGCGTTTTCTCATTTCTATCTTTTAACCTTCCAGGTCGAACTCACTCCATGACCAACGGTTCCCTAAAGTCGCCGATCGCCAACGGCAGCTTCAGCTTCGACGGCCACATGCGCAGCGATGGTCAGGTGTACCACACGGTGCACAAAGACTCTGGCCTCTACAAAGACTTGCTCCACAAGATCCACCTGGGCCGTATGGACGACGGCGACCGCCCGGGGTCCGGCGCCCCCCAAGCCGACAACAACTACCGCCTGCTGCGCCGCAACAACAGCTACACCTGCTACACGGCGGCCATCTGCGGCATGCCCGTCCAGCCGCTCAGGCGCACGGAGTCACGCGACGACAGCGAGAAGCTGGTGGGCGAGGGGGGCGGCAGGAGCAACAGCGTGTCGTACTCCAAGAAGCGGATCCGCTACGACAGCTACTCGTCGTACTGCAATGCCGTCGCCGAGGCGGAGATCGAAGCGGAGGAGGGAGGGGTGGAGCTGAAGATGGCCTCGGAGCTGGAGGGGGTGGAGGAGGAAGGAGGTCAAGCTCCGATCCCTCTGGATGACCTGGAGGATCACGAGGAGAAGGACAAGTCGGAGGTGTTTCTGCTGTTCCACTTCCTGCAGATCCTCACCGCCTGCTTCGGTTCGTTTGCCCACGGAGGAAACGATGTCAGGTGACAGATTTTATTCCACTTTTTGATATTTTCTTTTCTAAATCAATGCAGGCACCAGGATTTTTTTTCAACTACCGTATTTATTCAACTATAATACGTAAAATTAAATCCATAAAATCAACCATAAAGTTGTGTACTGTACTCGGATAAATATTTTTATTTATGTATTTTAACTGAAACGTCGGCCTCATTCACAAAATTATTGAGTCCGGAAATGAGACCGCGTCRTAAAAAGCAGTTGAAACGAGCTTACCTCTGACACTCCCTCATTCTTCAGAGTGAGATAGTAACAGATCCAGGCAGGCAACATCATGTGAAAAAAAGGGGGAAAAAGTAGTCCTGCACCTTTAGTAATGATAACAAACTAATGACATTAGCGTGTAACTGGGCCGCTCCTGGAACAACAACAAACACATGTTCGTCTGTAATGGCTGCCGTCTACCGGTGGTCTGAAAAAGTTTGTATCCCTGAAAAACTGTTTCCCCACCAGAGAACTTACTTCCTACTGCTCGCGAGTAGGAAGTAATCTGCTTTTCCCCCACAAGATGGCCCAAATCTCATGTGAAGTCTCTGACTTTTGTGTTGGCGCATCCTGGTGGACTCAAAATACATTTTAGTACATACATGTAAGTTGTTAAAATAAAATGAACAGTCCAATGATCATTTTACTGATATGTATAAAGACTGCAAAGGCTGAAAAATCTTGAAGTCTGAATGAAATTGGAAGTAGTTTAAAGATTAAATTTTTTATGCTTTTTAAGCTCAAACAGGGGGGGGGTCGTATTATACATGAGATCGTATTATACTTGAGATCGTATTGTACATGAATAAATACGGTAATTGATTATTTTGATTTGTTTGCAGTAATGCCATCGGGCCRCTGGTGGCGCTGTGGATGATTTACGAGCAGGGAGGTGTGATGCAGGACGCCGCCACTCCTATCTGGCTGCTGTTTTACGGTGGCGTGGGCATCTGCGCCGGCCTGTGGGTGTGGGGCCGCCGCGTCATCCAGACCATGGGGAAGGACCTGACTCCCATCACCCCCTCAAGGTGAGAAAGCCCCCTCACAGGAGTGGCTGTGTAAAGGTGTGCGTCTGTATGTGGGTGAACTAAAGACAGTGACACAAASCAGTTCTTCATGAGCTTCCTGGTGAGTACCTCCATGTACAAGCTCTGTACCTCGTTTGACCGAGAAGTCTTTACTCACAACGGGCAGAAAGGAAATGCATGAACTCAAGTCAGGTTCACTGTTTCAGCTTCATTAAGTACCTGTATCCAGGTACTGAAGAGTTCTCTGACCCATGAAGAACATTTTTACTCAGCAGGCTCTAATTCTGCTCCGCTCTGACCACAACACGTAGCTGTAGTTCAATTCATTTTACTTCATGATCTACACAAACAATATTGGATGTGTCACATCCAGGTTGTTTCTTTTCATTTGTTTGTGTTTTATCATCAGATTAGGATTGAATAATTAGGGAAATGTACAGATWTGTAATTTCAGCTTATTACAGGGCAAGTGTAAACTCACCGTGCTTAAAAACATAAGTTTTTTGTCATATAAACTAAAAGAAAACATTAAAATACAATAAAATGTTTTGGTCTGTGGGAGTAAACCCACAAGTGCAGGGAATCCTAAAAAAAGGCAAAACAAACAACAAATAATAGTGTTAATGCTGAATTCACTAATGCCTCAAATTAAACTGAAAACTAAGGCATTTTTTWAATCTAGTTTTCAATTCATCAATCCAAAAATAAGGCCTTAATTAGCCTTAAAAKGTCYTAAAWCAAGCTTTCAGAGGTGTTAAAAATATTAACACATTGTAACCAAATATAGGACGATTGTGATTTGTCACTAATTTTAAATTTTTTTGTAACATTTTTTTATTAAAAATAATTTACTTAATGCCTCACGCAGCTAGTTGTTTTGTGTTTAAAATAAACATTTTTTCCTGTATTGTTTATTGTGAAGTTGGTCTTAAATTTCATTTCAAGTGGCATTAAAGAGATCTTAAAAAGTCTTATATTTAACTTACCTTAAGCTGTAGGAACCCTGGTTTTTAAACTGATCACCATTAGTCAACTCGTTTTAAATAAACTAATTATAAAACATGTTTTATCTGAGATCAAAGAATGCAAACGAATTATTTTTTGGCAATCTGAGCTGCCCAACAAAACATTCATCATATATTAAGAATTCCACAGCAGTAAGCAGTAAAACAGGAATGGTATGTTCTGTCAGTGTTTTTTTATTTTTATTTTTATTTTTTCTTGCTTTGTTACATAACCCACATGAATAATTAAATAGTTCTTTAGGCCACAGCAGATAAACCTCGCAGCTCACTTTATCCAACAACATAACAGTTTTTACACGCCTCAAACCGCCCTCTGCTCTTATCATCTGATTGTTTATTTTTTTTATTTTTTGTTCCTCTGTCCTTTTGTCGTCCCTCACATTAGGGAAAGAATGTGCGCACGTGAATCTCACGGATGTTTGCGTGTTTGGAAAGCCGAGGCCTGTGCCTGCAGGCCGCTCTGTGCTGAATGTTCTGTATGTGTGTGTGTGTGTGTGTGTGTGTGGGTGTGTGTGGGTGTATGTGTGTGTGTGGGTGTGTGTGTGGGGGGGGGTTGCCTGGCAGGAATGAACGTCACACAGTGTTACAGGAAGTTGTTAGCAGCATGGCTGAGGGAGTGGAGAAACCACAGGGAGCGACGACAGCCTGACTCCTTTTTGTCCTCTTTTTTTTTCTGTAAATATCTAATTTTGTGGTTAACCCTCCTTGTCCTCACTTCTCCCCTCCTCTTCTGTCCTTTTCATTCCTGTCCTCTCCCTTTTTTGTTTTTAATTCAACTCCCCTCTAAAAAATCTCAAGTTTGGGAAGTCTGAGTTCTTCCCACGCTCACTCCTTCTAATTAKTTTCTCCTTTTTCGTTTTGTCTTTACCTTTTATTTGCCCCTCTGTCTTTGTGTGTCCCCTTTTCTCTCTTAATCTCTTCCCTTCCATCTCACACTGACTCTCCTGCCAGAATCCAAAGACAAATTTGCTCTGGTTCACAGTTTAAAGCCTCTCTTTTCTCCGGAGTTTCCATGCATCAGTCCTGACAAAGGAATTTGTTTGGGGGCAAGGACAAAAGGCTGTGTGTTTGTGTGTTTTTGTGTACTCTACAGTACATGCCCTGGCATATAATTGAACCACTGCAGTAATCCACGAAGAAGTGTAATTTAGCACAGCAGTTAGTCGTTTAGAAACTTAAATTATGGATTTTCATAAATCTCACCTCAATTCAAATACCTTTTACCAGAAGACCACTTACTGTCTGTTAATTGGTCTGAATGCTTTGAAGCATTAACAATATTGAGATGATTTTTCTTCCGTACATTTTTCAGCATGTATCTCGTTCCACAAATTCTGTGCTTTTTCCAACAAATCAAAACGTTCAGCTCCTTCAGGATGATCCAACTGTGACTTTTGGTTTTTCAGCAATTTATACTTTTTGAGATCTTTAGCGTTTTCAGCWGTTTTTGTTCTAATTGAAAATCACTGGAGCTGTGTTCAACAGCCATACAATCCTTCACAACAGTTAAACCTTTCCTGCGTTTTACACCGTTTGCTAAGGTTCTGCTATTTTTACCTCTCTGTGCTAATTTTAGCTTCTCTTTTTGCTTGTCTTTCTTCTTTTTCAGCTACCTTTCTGCACTTTTCAGTTATTCTGCTAATTTATTATTTGTGTGCTTCTAACAGCTTCTTTCTGCTAATTTAAGCATTTTATGCTTTCTGCAATTTAAGTAACTTTTCAGCTTTTTTCAGCTAATGTTMGCTGTTTTTCAGCAATCCTGACCTTTTTGTGATCATTTTAGCTACTTCTTACAGCTGCATAATTCAGCAAACGTGCTTCTTTGTGCTAGATTTAGCATTTTATCTACTTTTTAGCTACTCTTCTGCTAATTTCATTGTTTTAGGCTGTTTAACAAATCGCTAAATTTTTGCACCACTTTTCTGTCAGCGTTAAACATTCAGATTGCCTCATATTTTTTAGTTTTTTTTAAATTGTCAAGTTTCATTAAAGCTCAATTTTAAAGTGGTTTATTGTGAACTTTGAGGACTTGGTTTCTCAACTGCAGGGCAGAAGTCAGAGCAGTTTTAGTTTATAAAATCAGAGAATTTTTGACCTCAGCTGTTGGTGACTGTCTTGCAACAACAAGGTTTTTCATTGTCCTCGTGTCATAGAGACTCATAGCCCAGACACTTGAGGTTTGAACATAATTAAATTATATTTCAGTGACAACTTTCCTCTCAAATTAAAGTTGTCATGGGTGTATAGAGTCTGTGTTGAACTCATTTTGGTTTAATATCTGTAATCTCGGAGCTCTAGAGGCWTTTATTGACACAAAACATCAGAGGCTGCAGCCCCGAATGTCAAAGTCTAAAAGCATCATTCATAAATAGTAAGTATAAAAACAGTCTAAATGTCTAAATTGTACACCAGCAGATTATGTGCACATTAAAAAAACATTTAAAGGGATTTTAATATCACTCAAAACACACATTGCTGGTAAGTATTTATAATTTTTGGTTGTTTTCTTTTAAAGTTGTTCTTTTTTGTTTTWGTTTGTAATCCATGTTCTGTTTTATCCCATACAAGTTACTTTTTGATGTGTTTCATGTGTTTGTGTGTGTGTGCGCGCACAAACGTTTTAACGCTTTTCTCTTCCAGTGAACCCACTGGTCTGAAGTCAGAGCGAAAACAGGGTATGAATTTAAAATTTTGTCCCGAAAGCAGGAGGCGATACCAAAAACTCGCCAACACTTGAAATGATCTGCAACCCTGTGGGACCTCACAGGAACTGTGTGTGTAGTTTGTGTGTGTGTGTGTGTTTGTCTGCGATCGGAGACATTTTTAATGAAAGTCTTAATTTTGTTTTGTTTTTGTTTGCGTGACGGGTAAATGTCCTGTTATGGTTAACTCTGGAGAGGCTGTGCCATCATTACCAGCGTCCCAGACAACACAATGAAGACTGTCTCTTTACCCCACCCTCCCCTCCCCCCCTCCCCCTCCCTCCTTCCACAGTGGATTCACTATTGAACTGGCCTCTGCACTCACAGTCGTGTTGGCTTCCAATATCGGAATCCCTGTCAGTACCACACACTGCAAGGTATGACCGAGTGGCCCCTYCGGCTGCTGACCTAACACCACCCCTCCCTCCAGGTTCAACCAGGGGAAAGGGAGCTCACACCTCCTCCCAGGGCGCCGGGCCATCGTTCGTTCCATGCTAGCGTCCCACCTGTTGAGGCTGTAAACAGCCTGAAACACATCACTCCGCCCGCTGAGCGACAGCTCTCTGTTTAAATAAAATATGTCAAGTTCAGGCTTTTTTTTTCCAAAGGCAACTTGCATTAAAGGGGACATATCATGCAAAATCCACTTTTTTAGCCGTGAAATACATTTTGTTCTGTAGAAATGCAGGAAAATAATATTTAATCTCTCCTGGTGCTGCATAGTTATCTTTATATTGTGTTTGTGTCGAATTCAACCCATTCAGTTTCTGTTCTCTATGTTTTCTGAATCATTACGTCGCAATATTTGCTACAGAATTTCTAAATTAGGTCTGGACTTACCAGCTACATTTTAGTAGTCTTCATTCTCCTGTGGTTCTGGGTCAGACTCTGGCTCCAACATGTAAGGATGAATAGACAAGTCTTCTTTTAATTAATTTGTAAATAAAAATGTTTCTGCACCACTATATAGTTATAAATCCCTCTATTAAATTAAAATGGACCACTSKGGAAGCTGGAGGGGGGCGGGGTTTGAAGCCTTGTTTGGATTTAAAGAGACAGCCTCAAAATCRGTTGATCTGAAATGCCTCAGAAAAGGGGCGGGGCTTGTGGAGTTTGAAAAAGGAGGAATTCAGACCAAAGCTTTGCAGTTCCACTTTATATGGACCCCGATTTAATGATTTAAATATAAAAAAGAAGGATTCAAATGCATGATATGTCATCTTTAACACTTGAAAAGATCCTTTTGCTTAAAGTCACATTTTAACATTTTGTCTTTATTTTTTGTTACATTTCTTTTATGAACTAGATTTTTCTCTTTAATTGACAATCAGACACTTTGACGTGTCCGGCCCGCTGTAGATCGCCCTGGGCCATGGTGTGCAGCCCCTCTCCCCTGTTCTTTTTTTTTTCAGGAACATCAAATCCAAGCTGGAAGACCCCCTCCCCCAGACTCCACCCACAATGTTTCATACTCTTGTTTCCTTTCCACCGAGTCTTGTTAATGGTGTCCCTCTCTCAGCACTGGCATGGTTTGGTGTGTGGGCCCCTCCGCCCTCCTGTGCTTGGCTGCAAGCAGACTCCTGCCTGTACCCCCCTCCCTCGCCCCGCAACCAAAGCCACCATTCGCACCACCAGCCTCCTCCCCCAGAACCCACCTGCCACACTTGTTTTCCTCTTTTTTTACCTTCCTCTCCATCTTTCTGTCTCTCCACCCATGTGTCTTCACAGCGGATTTTGCATTGAAGTAATGAGTGCGCTTACTGTGCTTGTTGCATCAAATGTGGGCATCCCAATAAGCTCCACCCACTGCAAGGTACTGCAGTCATAGGTAGTGAAGTCATGCAACAGAGCCCCCCTCTCCTCCCCCCTCCTCACCTCCCACCAGAGCTCCTCTTGATCGATTCACCTCTAGCTGTCAATCACAGAAACCAATCGCAACTCTTGGAAGTTGACGTTTTGACTCCTTTTGCTGTTTTCCTTCATCAAAACTTTCTTAAAGGGATCCCCGACTAGTTCTAACATTAGACTTTGTTTAATAAACATATATTTTAACTGTAAAATAAAGACTGCAAAATACTGTAGGCTGTTTAGTTTTTACAATTTTTAAACTAAAAGTTTAAAAATATATTACACGGACCGAGCCATTTTATTTAYACGCAAAGCATTCTGGGTAAATGATGACGTGGATAGGTCCTCGGTGCGAGGCTGCTAGCGAGCTATATCCACCCTGAAGGTTAATCTTGGACAATATCTGATGATCGACTCTTAAATGAAACCAGAGAGCGTTGACAGAGAGGAGAAGGTAGAAGTGACTCAGCCTGGAACTGAAAATATGGATGGAGGACAACAGAGCTGCTTCATGGAAGAAGAACCCCAGCTTAGCCTGTTAGCGTTAGTGTTAGCCCTGACGTTATCACCATGTATATGTATTAGCTCAGCGCTACACATTCTCCTCTCATCACTGTAGTCCTCCATCCACATGACAGAGAGGGGAACGCAAAAATGACTCAGCCTGCAACTGAAAATAAGGATGGAGGACCTCAGTTTAGCTTGTTTGTCGCGCTAGCGCCAAGCTAATACATATAAGGCAGTATATGGTCGGCGCTAGGGCAAAGACCAACAGGCCAAACTGAGGTTCTTCTTCCATGAAGCAGCTCTGTTGTCCTCCATCTATATTTTCAGTTCCAGGCTGAGTCATTTCTACCTTCTCCTCTCTGTCAACGCTCTCTGGTTTCATTTAAAAGAGTCGATCATCAGATATTGTCCRAGATTAACCTTCAGGGTGGATATAGCTCACTAGCAGCCTCGCACAGAGGACCTATCCACGTCATCATTTACCCAGAATGCTTTGCATGTAAATAAAATGTCTCCATCCGTGTTAAAATATATTTTTAAAAATTTACTAAACTAAACAGCCTACAGTAATTTTACAGTCTTTATTTTACAGCTAAAATATATGTTTATTAAATAAAGTCTAATGTTACAACTAATTGTGGATCCCTTTAAACGCCTTAAATTTAAACAGATTGAACATTTCAGAAACAGTGGTTTACAGTTTAGTTTCTTTTTTGACTGAGTAGTTGAAATATTAATTATCTTTACTCGATGTCAGTGATCAAGTTTAATGAAAGGAAACGGCAGAAGGTTCAAAACTGGTGTTCAATCATCGGTGGTCGGTTTATCTAAACATCACCTTCTTCCCATATTTTCATTCCTCAACCATAAATCCTCTCCTCCCTAAAAGATAATCAGCTTCTTTGCCAACATGCCTAATCTACTGATGGTTAGAGATTCACGGCTGGGGTAGTGATTTCTGTTCTTTTTACTGGTTTGGGTCTGGAGACACATGGATGCTTTTGGACAAAAATCAACTTTTAAACTTGTTAAAATGAATCCAGATGAAGCTCAGAGCTGCTGGAGTTTTATAAAAAGTTGCCAACAACATCCATAAGCATCTCCAGGATGGTTCAATGTGAGAGGGACTGAGCAGTGATGGGTATTGATTTGGTTTTCATTAATTTCTGTCAGGTTTGAGTGATGATTTTCATTTTGCAGCCTCTTTTTTTTCATCCTGTGTGTGTGTGTGAATCACTAAAATATGATCATGTACAGTGACTTGCTCTTTCGGGAGCTCTGTAGGTTGCTAGAACATTGAGGTTTTCACATGCAAATCATTATAAACAAACTTTGTGACCAGAACATTTAGATTTTATCCCAGTCTGATTTGGAAAGATTGCTTTGCAATGCAAATTATTCCCTAGAATAAGCAACCAAAAGGAAAAAAAAGAAATGACTCTTCTGTGACAGATTTGGTAGCTGATGAGTTAACCTTTTAACTCCAAAAGTGACAGATTAAACATGTTTGATCAGGTTTCTAACAGCAGTTATTCTCGYGTCACAAACGGAGCTGAAAGTAACTCACTGTACATGAAACTCAAAGTTGTCTGAAAATCTTTTTGTTTCCTCCAAAATAATTTCTCTTTAAATTGTGTTCTGATTTGGTTCTTTGGATTAAAAGGAAAAAAAAGTGAGTAACAGAGGAATCCAGTGGTGAAAGTCTTATATTTGCAGTGAAGAGGGGTTTTGTGGAGTCATCAGCAGTCAATATCTTACTTACAAAAGGTAACTTGAGTTAAATAAAGAGAAGTTTTAACTGCAAAGATGAGAATGGAAGGACATTTTAAAGTGCCTGACATGTTCTTCAAATAMAAAAAGTCAGAAAACCTCTTTAAATTTAAGAACCGTGGTATAATATAAATGATTTTACTGGTTTTGTTACATAAGTGGCATGTTTTCTTTTGAGCTGGGACCAGCCAGGGTGAAACAGGAAGTGACATCAAAGGGGAACTCTTAAAGGAAAGGAACTCTTTGTCATTAGCTGTGTCCAAAACGACAGGCCGGGTCCTCCGGAGGACCCAGACTCCCCGGTCGCGGCGGGCCGGGTCCTTGGTAGACCGGGAAGACCGGAAAAAAAGAGGCTGTGAATTTGGACGGTCTAGCCT